GTTGTTAGCCATTATCATTTATAGTTATCGTGTTGCAGCAGAGAGCCCTCTTCGGGATATCTTCAAATTAAGTGCTTCACCGTCTTTTTGAAAGGAAAAGAAATCGCAGGATTTATTCTAAACCTCAGCAACATGGAACATAAATCAAGATCCAAAGCTAATAACGCGTCTTGCCTATAAGTAGCCACCGACGTTAAGTAGTCTAGCCAGATTATCACCAAGAAACCAAAGGGCCCTTCACAATGTGCGCAAGATTCTTTCTACCTTCTTGTTCATGCAGAATCCCTTTCAAGCTGAAAGTTGAAAAGGAGCCAAACTGCAAATGTTCTGCTTCTACAACGAAACAAATTAGTGCTAGCAGTTTTTCTTGACATATTCATAGACACATGTCACACCAGATGTGCCGTGCTTCCTTTTGCTTTATATAAAGCCCGATTATTCGGAGGCTCGTGGAACATCCCATACATCGATTAAGTCTAGACTTTTGGTCTGTGCATATAGTCCTGACTCATAGCAATTTGCACGCAATTTATAATTTAATAAGATAATGGTGGTCACTATTCTCTTTCTTTACAATTATCTTACACTTACAGCGACGACACGTTAGAATGCTATGATACGATTTTACGACCAGTCATGACGTGGATGTCATGTTATAAGAAAATGCCAATGGTGAATAGGTGTCGGGCCTTCTTGTCTTCTACTCGCCAATGCCATCAAGAGATTATGACATGCGGTCTCTCTCTCTTTCTCTCTGTTCATTCAGAATATGATTTGATGGATCCAATCAAATGAAATTGATTATCTGTTGGTTGGAGGTGGAGAAGATGCTACATGCACGGCTTCCCGGATGCTGATAGAAAACATTTATCGTCTCGCCACACGTGAGAGTTCAGCTCTTGTCCACATGCTGATCTGCGACAACCCCTCGCTGCTATCTTATTAGGCTTTGGTCTATCATCGTTTGTTTTTGTATTCCTCTTCCTCTGTCTTTTCCTTGAGATGCTAGCATATAAAATGCAATTATTGCCACTGATAATTGAAGACACCATCAAGTCTCTTCAACTGTTAATGTTTTTCTCCTATAATCTGCGAACACTTTGTTTGATTGTGATTTGTGAATAAAATATTTGCACAGAGACGTGTATGAAGTCGGCATCGTTCTATATTATATGAATTCCATCCCGCATCTATACTACGATATACAGTAAATATATGATAGCATAAGTAGCATATAATCCAAAATTTATTTGGAAATAAATCTTGAATAATATAGCATGGCATGGATCGTTTGCACTGCTGATATATTGTGTAGCATGCTGAAGTAGTGTTGGCATGTCAAGTGATAAAACCGACTTTGGTATGCAGGATTTGAAGAGAATTGCTTAGTCACCACTAACAAATGATGTAGTAATTACATAATCCGAAATTTCTTTTTATTAATAAAAAGAGAAAATTTTGCACAACAAGTCTTGAAAATCATGACACAATGTTTGAGAGTTTTGTAATTCCGATGTGCGGAGTTATGTTAATTTATGACTTTGACATGACATTTGTGGGTGCCACAATTATTCTAATCAAGTCCATAGACTTTGAATTTGTCTAATATTGTCCTTCTACTTTCACAATTTCTAATCAAATTTCTTCGACGCCAAATCCAACTGATTAGGGGTGTCAATGGGTCGGGTTGGGTCGGGCTTTCATGATACCCTACCTGACCCAAAATCAATAGGGTTGCGCTTGGCCCGCCCAGACCCGGCCCAAGACCCTGTTCAGCATATTCCCCAAGGTCCGAGTCGGGTCGGGTTAGGCCGGGTTAGGGATTAATTTTTAGCCCATGAACAAAAATATTTCATTAAAATTTACATTAATAGAATTTAATGAAACATATTTTCCTTTTATTTTTTATTTAGAAAATCATTATAAAAAAAATTTTAAAAAGAAAAAATAAGAGAGAGAGAAGACAAAAGAGGGTCCCCCTCTGGGCACACTTACGAAAAAGAAGAAAAGGGTGAAAGGACACAGAAGAAAGTAGTCTGCATATTTCATTAAAAAGAAAAGCTGCAAGAAGAGACAAAATAGGGCAGAGCTTTCTTCGTTCCCTCAGTCAACACACGTCCAGAACAGAGAGCAAAAAAGGAAGCGAGAACGAGAGCAGAGAGGGGAAGAGAGTTTGGGAGTGAATCGGAAAAGGGATAGCTTTGCGCGTTCGCTCGCCGTCCGTCTGAGTTGCCGTCGGCCCCCGTCGAGTCTCCGACAGCCGTGATTCATCCCGGTCAGCCCCGAACCAGGTGGGCTCTCTTCATCTTCCCCTATTTTGAGTCCCCGTCCCCGGCCTTTCGGGTGCCGGGCACACCGAATCTATTCGGTGACCGCCCGGCCCCCACCAAAGGAGGATAATGCTTGTTATACGTTCAAAGAAGTGTTCTTAAACGTTGTATGTCGAAGAGAACCCATGAATCGTGTCAAAATCAGCCCAGAAAATCCATCTCTCAGTCCCCTCCCACGTATTTGTTAAAATGCCTCAAAGAAGCCCTTCAAGCTTCAAACGTTGGATCTGTGTGTGCCATTATTCAGCGTTCTTTTGCAAACCGTGACCACTTTGTTGCAAAATGTGATTGTGCAAAGCACCACACAGCACGTTTGAGCCATATATCACCTTGAATCTCGGCCTGAAGTTTTCGTTTGAACTCGCATACCACTCGTTTGATAAAATGCCTGAGTGAAGGCCCAAACTAAAAAGAAACATGAAATCAGTGCATAGAATCTTCGATATATGTTTTGTTCGTTTAAGATTGATGTTTGGTCACCGATTCCTTGATTTCGTGTGATTTTATGGCATGTTAACTCCGGTACGAGGCGGCCATGTGTGCATTCCCTACCTGCCGGAAAGCTCTTCGTCGCCGAATCGATGCCCGCGGTTAGAGGCCGTTGGAATCAGTTTCCCATCTTTGTTTTGTGTGTTTATGTACGTGCAGATTTAGAGCTTTAGATCTGTTTGAGATTCGGAGAAAAAGGGGTAAGTCGACACCAATGTTCGGTCGCTCGCGTAATTTTTCATAGCCGGAGTTAGTTTATGGTTCGGTGGAGGCGGCAGCCAGCGGTGAGAGTGTGGGTCCAATGGCGGCCACCAGCGTTGGCGACGCATGCCGACAGTCGGGGGTGAAGAGGTGGTCACGGCGTGGTCTCGACTGGATGCGTGGGGGAGGCCTCGGTGAAGAACAGTATGAAGAAGAGGATATTCTGGGTAGAAGGCACGAAGGGGGAAAGGAAGACCAGAAAAGACAAAAGAGAAAAAGAAAAAGAAACAAGAAAAAAGGAAAGAAAAAAAAAAAGAAAAGAGAGAAAATAGGAAAAGAAAAAAAAATCAGAAAAGAAATAGGAAAAGATCCCGAGTGGGTCATAGAGAGTCGGGTCAGGTGTCGGGCGGATCGGGTCAAGGGACCCGGTCCGGAATCTTTATTTTATTAATAAAAATATAAAAAATATTTTAAAATTAAAAAAAATTCCCAAATGTTTAGTAGAAAAAAATAAAAAAAGTCTGAAAAACATTAAAAAAATGCAGAAAATTCAAAAATTAAAAAAAAATTAAAAATTAAAAAAATTAAAAAAAGAAAAAAATTTCGAAAATTAAAAACATTATTTGGGATTTGGAATTGGTTTTTCTTGCCCTTTTGTATGATTGGTATCTTGTTTGATTGCACGTTGCTTGATTCACACACTTTGAAATGCTCGTTTAATTTAACCTCGCATGTAGTTGATTATGCATGTTGGGTTCATGTGTTGATTGTTGCTTCCCTTAGCTTGGTTAGGGATGGAATTTTGAGATTCCCAATTAGTGTGAACATGTTAGGCGGTGATTGAATAATGTTAGGTACCGAAAGGGTACTAGTTGGTCAATTAGTGTAATCAAGTCCTAGTACCCATTGAGTCTCTGGTTCGTAAAAGTGAAGCATTTCTCCCGCGCTTTACTTGGGTGTCTGATCGACTCACCAAAAACTAACTAGTGGCGACTCCTAGATGAAATTGATTCGCGTGTTAATAACTCAAAATCTATGTCGCGAATTGGTATTAGCTTGGGAGAGCTCGAACTAGGTTTAAACTTAGTAATTCATTAGCCAAACCCCTTAGGCGGCGAGCGCCGGTTTGGGGAGATCGCGACAATATTTTATCTAATTCTGGATAAAAAAAAAAGATGATCCAACATTTGGCAGTCAATGCATTTGTCTCCTTCTGTACCACAGTATCAAGACTCCTGCGAGCTTGTCCTCACAGAATCCCATCTTTTACCCTCCCCTCCTAGTCTAGGAATTTATCTTAGTGAAGTTAATGCCAAGCAAAATTTGTTCTCTTCTTTTCTTTTTATTTCTAACTCATAGTAAACTGCACAACTGAAGCAAATGACTCAAACAAGCCTGATTGCTCCGCCGAGACCGACAGAGATCATGTAGACCATCCAACAAGTGTTGAGGCTGCAAAATTGAAGGTATGAACGTAGTTCTAAACTTCTCATTCCACGAAAATACAAATTCTTTCAATTCATACCTAATTGATAACACAAACGTCTCTAGTTTCGGATTTGGCAGAAGACCGATAGAAGAACGACCAGCTCGAAGGACCAGTACTCGAAACAGCGAAAGAAAGTAAATCAAGAGACAAATGATGTGAGTAAACTAGTTCAAGGCTAGGACTCTCACTTCTGAAATAGGGGACTTAGATTAATACAGTCTGACCAACTATCATCAAAACGCTTCGAAAAAACCAAACAGCTACTAATCTTTTCTTTTGATCATAAATTTTGGCATCGCATTAGCAAACATAAGAACAAATAGGTACTCACCAAATCATAACTGCTGAAGGAACAGCAAGCTTGACGAAGCTAACAAGGTCAAGCAAGGCCTCTCTTGTGAAACCGGTCCAAGTTTTGATACAAACTGAAGAGAGCTTCACGTAAATCGCCAGCAGAATCACATTGTTCCAATTTGAAATCGTGTTCGCCAAAGTAGCTCCTCTAATTCCTAGTCCAAACTTAAAGATGAAGACCCAACAGACGACTATGTGAAGAGAAGCAATAACCAGAGAGCTCATCATCATCGGTAGAACGTTATTTTGCGTCTGCAAGAACCTGTTCAGACATTGGAGGAGGCCATACGCGAATAGACTTGGGATCATCCAACGGTTGAAAATTCCCGCTTCCCTGGAAATCTACACATTTTGGCCAAAAGCTATGAGAATGTCGGAGGTGTAGAGCCATATGACTGCAAGAGGGATGCTTAGGCATAGAAGCGTAAGCATAGCTCATTGCGTGTAACTCCAAGCATATGATACTCTTTGGCTCCATAGGCTTGGCCACACAGTGTCTCCAATGCACTTCCCATTCCTAACTTTCATCAGACATTTTGGTCGAGACATTTTAGTTTGCAAACAAAATGAAGATCTAAGTATACACAACCTAGGAATCATGCTCAAAGCACAGTCGACCTCAGCAGATGTAACATGTCATTTCCGCGAGCGGTGTCGCGCGTGGAAATTCAACACCAGAGAAGCACCATACATGTTCAGAGACAAGGATAGTGAAACCTCGGAGAAAACTCAAAAAACACATTTTACCACTTGCTTCTTCAAATTCAGTACTCGAATGTGGCCTCGAGGCGACAAATTGAACTTATTTTCCTTTCCAGTTTCCTCAATGTTACGGTAAAGATGGGTATTATTGTGTTAATACATTTCCTGCCTCGCTCAATTCCCGTGTTTCGTGCTGATGTATCACCTCCTTCAGAACACATTTTCCTCAAACCATTTTGTCTAATGTCTCTCTTTCTTTCGACTAGCAAGACCAACATCATCAGAAGACAAACCCCGCGCACACACAATAATAAGAAACGAGAAGCAACAGGAACATCAATGGCGATGCACGAGAAAGCAACGGAGTAGAGAGTGGTACCAAGACGCTGAAGCCCGTGACGGAAGCAAAGGAGGTGGCCATGGACGCGCCGGAGAGGGGGAGCTCCCCGAGGTGGCCCACGAACATGACGGAGATCACCTGCACGCTGTACTGCAGCATGCTCACCCCGATCAGCGGCCCCGACAGCCGCACCTGCCGCTTCAATTCCTCGATCATGATCACGCGACGCTCGTCCCTTGGAACCGAGCCGGGTGAAGGTTTTCCGCCGCCGCCGCCGCCGTCACGCTCGAGATCATGGCTTTGGATCAGAGGAGATTCAAGAAGGGACGCTTCATCGATTTCTTGATCTCCTCCTCCTCCTCCTCCTCTTCCTCCCATTTTCCCGGGTTCCGTCGATGGGGAGCCGTCTTTCTCTCGAGAGAAAATAATATGGCTTGCAAGCGCCAGACCAGTGTTGACGTGACGTACGCTTATTTATTGATATCCAATGAGATCTTGACACGTGGATAGTGATCTGGAAAATTAAAAAGAGAAATTTCTCTTTTTCCTCTTCCATCTTCAACCTCCGCTCCATCTCCACCGCCCAAGCCGCCACCGCCCCACCGTGGCCGCCACGGTCCGCCGCAAATATGGAGATGCTGCAGCTCGTCGCCGGAAGCCACGAACGAGCCAGAGGACTTGAGATGCGGAGCAGCGGGTCGGCCATGGACGGCCTCTCGTCCGCAGATCTGAGCGCCCGACTTTCTCTGCCATCCCATCGGCTGAGCGGCAGATTTAGGGACGCAGAGCAGTGGGCTCGCGGCCAAGGCTCCAGATCTGGTATACGCACTTTCAGCCCATGGATTCTCTGTTGAGTGGGTGGAAGGAGAGAGATCTTCAGCCATGGCTTCTTCTCTCCTCACCAAATCCAGCCCCTCGCCGCCAGATCTGGAAGTGAGGCACCGGGCGGGAGGAGACGGCCGAAGTGGAGAGATGCGGCGCCAGCCAGCTGTGGCGGAAGGAGGTCAATTTTTCAATTCCAGGTGTCAATTTGTAATTGGTTAACAATATAATAAGCACGTGCTGCTGGCAAACCACCGAATATTTCCTCCCTCCACCTAATCTCTACCACCTCAACGGTTTGTCATTACTTCTGACCAAAAAAAAACAACGGTTTGTCATTATTAAGGTGGTAGAACCAGAAGAAGAGAAGATGAGAAGCGGATGCTTGTTATCTTTGGTAAGATTAAAAACGAGCATTTAAAACACGGATCCAATTCATCGGTTCCCGATTCATTTCTTTCCTTGGAAATTGGAAATGAATCGCACAATACTAATTTCACTTTTTTAAGAATCGGGAAGTAACCGCAGGATCTGATCCTATAATCAGATCAATTCGGTTTCCGATTTTATTCTAAATCCATGCTCACCTATTCTTCCGGCGACATAAATTCGGAGAAATTGACAAGTCGACATGAAGTCTTCCCTCAAATTAATTTGATACGTCCCAATACGACTCTTCCTGTCAAATCCACGAGATACGTTCGGCGTCGTTGACTCATGGTGTTGCATCCGTCCACGCCTTCGAGAGTACAGAAAAGGACAATGCCAGCTAGCATACACACGCGATACTCTTCCGCCATCACTTCCCACGACCTACCTACCTACCGATAAAATGCCATCTCCCACGCGGACATTCAGTCCCTCTCTCTCTCTCTCTCTCTCTCTCCCCCAAGTGTTCATATTAACAGAAGCGGAAGGCAGGCGGCGGAGAGATCCCGATTCCCGTTTACTAGTCCTTCTCGGCTCTTCCATGGATGAAGAGACGAAGCAGATGATGGAGGAGAGGCTGCTGGTGAAGAGGGAGGAGGCGGCAGAAGAAAGCAAGAGCGATGGCATCACGTGGGGAGGAGTGGGGGAGGAGGTGAAGAGGGTGGCGCGCATAGCGGCGCCGATGGTGGTGGTGACGTCGTCGCAGTACCTCCTCCAGATTATCTCCGTCATGATGGTCGGCCACCTCGGCGAGCTCTCCCTCTCCAGCACCGCCATGGCCGTCTCCCTCGCCTCCGTCTCTGGCTTCAGCCTCCTCGTTCGTACTCCCTCTCTCTCCCTCTCTCCCCTTCACGTTTTCTAACTCTTTGTTTTGGATTGATTTTTACCGTGGTGCCATTTTTCTTACTGGACGAGCATTGTAGTCGTCGTGACATGATCGGTGACTGCTTGTTTGAATCACACATGAGCTATCCGTTTTCATATGCTTCCATATGCTCTCAACAATGATGCACTTCAGCTAAAATTAATTTGAAGTAGCAGACTCAGCCAATTCATCTTCATTGCGGTTTTTTCCTTTCATTCTTTTCGAGCAAATGAACTCCACGATCTATAATGAGAATAGCGACGGCGTGTGTGTCAGAATCTCAATTCTCAACAACGATTCCGTGGAATTAAATGTAACCCGTTTGCTCCAAACCACACACGAGAAACAGCGGAGTACATGTCCTTAGGCATTTGTCGTGAACGACCCTTTGAAGCATCATCTGCCTATACCAGTTGAATGTGTATAATTATGTCTTTGCCGATCCTATTACCTATAGATGTTGGATTTGTGAGATTCCCGAGGGCATTATAGGCACATAACTGGTGCTGAATAATAGTCCAAGATGGCGGTTACTTCAGTATTGTCTTCTTGTTGACAATGTCAATACTTGGTCCGCTTTAAGCTGGTCACTGTTCCAAAAGTTAATGGTGATTTAACCCAAGTTGGTGAGAATCGGGAAAAAGCTCGTTCTCTCTTTGGTCAGGGACATGCTCTTTAACAGTAAAAAAGATAGGGATCTGATTCAGATGGGACAAAATCACATTATTAGGTTATTAAAGTGAGTGATATTCAATTTACTGGCAATAATTCTTAAAATTATTTTATCAATCAATTTAGTATTAGCATGACCCTATGTGCTTTCTCTGTGGGTTCCTAGAGTTGTACATGTAACAGTACTGAGACGAGGTTGTTATATTCTGGGCTCTTCTGTCAGTTGAGCTGCTCATGTTATTTCTTTAAAACACACTGCACATAGTCATTTGTGTGTATGAGAGTCCAGAAAAAGCAATTGTACTATGTTAGAAAACTGATTAAGGATGATGATGGGCCTGCTTGTTGACATAAAAATTGTCCATTCCACCAATTTTGGTTGCTTTTATAAAATATATGTTCAGACTAGTCTTTATGAACGAATTTTGATCCAAAGTGTATGGGAGACAAAAATTGTTTCATTTATAGATGGCTAAACTTTTTAGTTCATGAATTTGCAACAACAGCTTGGCATGGCCAGTGCACTGGAAACTCTGTGCGGACAAGCCTACGGAGCTCAACAATACCAAAAGCTCGGAACACATACATACACCGCGATCTTCTCTCTGACCTTAGTGTGCGTCCCTCTCTCTTTCCTCTGGTTCTACATGGGAAAACTCCTTGTGTTGATGGGCCAAGACCCGCTGATCTCACGTGAGGCGGGTAGGTTCATAGTGTGGCTCGTCCCTGCGATCTTTGCGTACGCGGCGCTCCAGCCACTGGTCCGTTACTTCCAGACCCAGAGCCTCACCACTCCAATGCTCATAGGCTCCTGTGCCACGCTCTGCTTACATGTGCCTCTCTGTTGGGTCCTCGTGTTCAAGTCCGGGCTACATAACCTTGGAGCCGCATTGGCATTGGGAATTTCTTATTGGTTGAATGTGATCTTTCTCGGGCTGTACATGACGTTCTCTAGCGCGTGCCGGAAGACGCGTGTGCCGGTGTCAATGGAGATATTCCGAGGCATTCGGGAGTTCTTCCAATTCGCTGTTCCATCAGCTGTCATGCTTTGGTAACTTATGTTCATGCCTAAGTGCTACTTCTGTGTGAATTTCTTTGTTTTCTAGTAGCAGTGCATGTGTATATGCTGTTTATATTGAATGATGACTCATGCTAGGTCTAGTAAGACTACTTTACATATTTTGTATGCTAGCAGTAACAGATATGACGGATTGTTACATGGGTTTTGAATGTGACCCACTTGTTTCTCTTGAAGTCTACCGCATCACTTGATGTATCAATTTATTATACCGCTCAATGTACACCTAGCATTAGTCTTGCATTCCTCTTGATTGGAAAATGAACTCAACCCATCTTTTTTGTTTTATTGTTTAAGATATTTTCTGTTGATGGAGTTTCTTTCTGTGTACTCATTTGGATGGATTGTAGCCTTGAATGGTGGTCATTTGAACTGCTCATCCTGCTTTCTGGGCTTCTACCGAATCCACAGCTTGAAACTTCAGTTCTCTCTGTGTGGTATGTCCCGTCTTTCATGTTACAGTTTTCATGACTTGACCAACATATGATTTTAGAGCTGTGTATTGATCTCGCATTCTAATTTGCTTTTCTGTTTAATCTCATGAACAGTCTCTCAACGATATCAACACTTTACACAATACCATTTGGAGTTGGAGTTGCTGGAAGGTTTGTAAACCCCTCTTGTAGCCTCTTGGGGCATGTTAGACTGACCCCATAGTACACTTATAATGTTCTAACAGAACCATAACTCTTTTTCGCTGTCTTTCTTCAATAACAGCACGAGAGTGTCCAACGAATTGGGAGCAGGAAATGCGCAGGCAGCTCGTGTAGCTGTCTATGCAGTGATGCTTATAGCAGTCACCGAGACAAGTATCGTGAGCGCGGTCTTATTTGCTACCCAGAAAGTCTTCGGTTACACCTTCAGCAACGAAAAGGAAGTCGTGGACTACGTTACGAAGATGGCTCCTCTTGTTTGCCTCTCTGTCATCTTAGACACCTTCCAAGGTGTCCTTTCAGGTATAACTCAACCTCTCTGTATCATTGGAGAGAACTTTGTCTGGACTTGATCTCGATAGACCCATGGAACTACCATTTAGGAACAGGGAAGCCTACACTAGATAAGTCGATCACCTCCCTGAGCGATTATAATGCAATCGGTTTTTTGTCGTGATGTTGTTTTGCTCGATCAGGTATTGCGAGAGGATGTGGGTGGCAACACATTGGAGCTTATGTGAACCTGGGGGCATTCTATCTGTGTGGAATTCCAGTTGCTGCAACTTTGGCCTTTTGGGTGGGATTGAGAGGAGTGGGACTTTGGATAGGGATTCAAGTGGGTGCTATTGTACAGATATCGTTGCTCTCAATCGTGACCTATTGCTCAAATTGGGAAAAGCTGGTAATTTATTTTTTTCCTATACTACTCAAATCAACAACATGCCTTAGGGATGACTTCTTAGCAGCTATACCTTCATAAAACTAGACGAGCAGGAGTTTGGGACAGCCCTAGATCCTCTTTCTTCATGGTGCAATCGTCACAAGTTATATGGCTTTTTATTGGAAGTGCAATCTAAGTTTTTCCTGTCATAAATTTTTCGATTTTTCCTTAGTGGCAACCTCTGTAGGCCGTCCTCTAGAAATTTTTCTTGCTGCCTCGTAAGGACTTGATTGTAATATTCAAGAAGATTTAGGAACTAATTGCACTCAACCGAAAGATCTAGATTGGTCTTGGATATTTTCATGTTAGTTAATCATGTTAGAAAATGTTTTAATGTAATTACGAAGTATTGTTATCACCGAACTAGGTATCAATTCACGTCAATGTGTAGAGCTGTGCCATGTCATGTTACGTCGATTGGCAGTTTCTCTTGATAATTCCCGTTGTATTCGACTCCGTGTTCACCTATGATAGTGGGAATTGCCATCAAGGAATTAAGTTGGTGCTGAACTTTCTTTTGGTGTTGCAGGCAAGCAAAGCGAGGGAGAGATTATTTGACGGAAGCTTTTCAGCCGATAATGGATCGATCATTTGAGCTCAAGCAGAGCTCCAACTGAGAAAATGATCATTGCAATTCACAAGCTCTCCAGTTGTTTAGTTCTTGATTTCAGTGATGTCACATTCATAGATTGCATTAGATCACACATGGCATCTGCAGCCGTATGCAATTCACACTAAAATTCACTGAACAAGGTCACCATTTCCGCACAAATATCCAGCCCCTGAACATCAGCCAGCATTCAATAATCTCAAGCATAAGTCATATATGAACATGAACATCAGTCATTCAAACAAGAGTTTGGGGGTAATTTCATTGCCTTGCCCTAAATGAAAATGCTTATCATATCAAGTTATTAAACAGGTTGTACCTAGATTCTTGGTCATTTTCAGATACCGTTTCTTAGTTGGTGAACTAGACAGATAAATCTAAATACGTGAGTCGAGTTATGTTGTTAGCCATTATCATTTATAGTAATTGTGTTGTAGCGGAGAGCCCTCTTCGGAATATCTTCAAATTAAGTGCTTCACCGTCTTTTTGAAAGGAAAAGAAATCGCGGGATTTATTCTAAACCTCAGCAACATGGAACATAAATCAAGATCCAAAGCTAATAACGCTTCTTGCCTATAAGCAGCCACCGACGATAAGTAGTCTAGCCAGATTATCACCAAGAAACCAAAGGGCCCTCACAATGTGCGCAAGATTCTTTCTACCTTCTTGTTCATGCAAAATCCCTTTCAAGCTGAAAGTTGAAGAGGAGCCAAACTGCAAATGTTCTGCTTCTACAACGAAACAAATTAGTGCCAGCAGTTTTTCTTGACATATTCATAGACACGTGTCACACCAGATGTGCCGTGCTTCTTTTTGCTTTATATAAAGCCCGATTATTCGGAGGCTCGTGGAACATCCCATACATCGATTAAGTCTAGACTTTTGGTATGTGCATATAGCCCTGACTCATAGCAATTTGCACGCAATTTATAATTTAATAAGATAATGGCGGTCACTATTCTCTTTCTTTACAATTATCTTACACTTACAGCGACGACACGTTAGAATGCTATGATACGATTTTACGATCAGTCAAGACGTTGATGTCATGTTATAAGAAAATGCCAATGGCGAATAGGTGTCGGCCCTTCTTGTCTTCTACTCGCCAATGCCATCAAGAGATTATAACATGCGGTCTCTGCAATTATTGCTTTATAACATGTCGGCCCTTCCTTTTGCTTTATAAAGTGCAATTATTGCCACTTATTATAACATGTCGGCCCTTCCTTTTGCTTTATAACATGTCGGCCCTTCCTTTTGCCATCAAGAGATTATAACATGTCGGCCCTTCCTTTTGCTTTATAAAATGCAATTATTGCCACTGATAATTGAAGACACCATCAAGTCTTTTCAACTGTTAATGTTTTTCTCCTATAATCTGCGAACACTTTGTTTGATTGTGATTTGTGAATAAAATATTTGCACAGAGACGTGTATGAAGTCGGCATCGTTCTATATTATATGATTTCCATCCCGCATCTATACTACGATATACAGTAAAGATATGATAGCATAAGTAGCATATAATCCAAAATTTATTTGGAAATAAATCTTGAATAATATAGCATGGCATGGATCGTTTGCACTGCTGATATGTTGTGTAGCATGCTGAAGTAGTGTTGGCATGTCAAGTGATAAAACCGACTTTGGTATGCAGGATTTGAAGAGAATTGCTGAGTCACCACTAACAAATGATGTAGTAATTACATAATCCGAAATTTCTTTTTATTAATAAAAAGAGAAAATTTTGCACAACAAATCTTGAAAATCATGACACAATGTTTGAGAGTTTTGTAATTCCGATGTGCGGAGTTATGTTAATTTATTTCTTTGACATGACATTTGTGGGTGCCACAATTATTCTAATCAAGTCCATAGACTTTGAATTTGTCTAATATTGTCCTTCTACTTTCACAATTTCTAATCAAATTCCTTCGACGCCAAATCCAACTGATTAGGGGTGTCAATGGGTCGGGTCGGGTCGGGCTTTTATGATACCCTACCTGACCCAAAATCAATAGGGTTGCGCTTGGCCCGCCCAGTCCCCAGCTCAAGACCCTGTTCAGCATATACCCCAAGGTCCGAGTCGGGTCGGGTTAGGCCGGGTCGGGGTTCGGGTTCGTCACTCAATTACGACCTTTCCAGTTTTTTCATCCTTCTCCAACTCCATGCTTCTCTGAACATCGGCTTCGTTGGGCCCCAACACCGAAATCGGCTTTGTAACCCCGAATTGCCTTGCTGCCATCGCCATCGCTGGCACGGGGGGCGGTGACTCCCTCAATCCCTCCGAACTCACCATCCAAGACGAATCAAATCAAAACGCAAAAGCAAAAGGCAGAGCCTAAATCGGGCAAAGAACCGTCCCAATCGACGAAAAGAGATGTCCCAAAATAGAAAAAGGTCCCCGCTTTCTCCCCTGAAGAACAGCACCACCCACACCAAAAGGGAAATCCACAACTGGAGGATTCAATCGACGATCGCAGGGACGCCGGAGCCGAGGCCCGATCAGAGGAACAGCGAGGGAGCGGGCGAGCAAAGGCGCTGACTTTCCGGTCCCATCGAGAGGAGCGGATGAAAGGAAATCGAAACCCTAATTGAATCGAATCGGATCAAATCGGGATGCGCCGGGGGAAGGAGGGGGGGGGGGGGAAAGTGGATCTCGCCACGAATTCAAGAGGAGAATGCGAAGGAGAAGAGCATCCCCGAAGCCCTAGATCATGTCGTAGAAGAAGGAGATACAGAAGAGAGAGAAAGTGTTGATTTTTCTGAGTTGAGGAGAGAGAGGGAGATGTGTGGACTGTGGCCCATAGGAGGTTTTGTGGTGTCAATGGGTCGGGCCCAACCCTATCCAAACTTAGTAATACTCATACCTAAAAACCCTATCCAACGTAGACAACACCCAACCCCAAAATAACCCAAATTATAAGGCCAGGTCAGGACGGCGCGAGTTGGGCCGGATCAGGCCGGCGTGGGCTTTTTGGACACCTTTACAATTGATGTGGCGTCTGACGTGGATAAAACTTTTCCCATGTGGACGTTCACATTGGCTAAATTTATCAACATCATTTATCTACATCCGCTAAATTTTTCCACTCAAGTCAGTGTGGCAATCTGCATATTTTACCAGCATCATATTTTGGTTTCGTCCAATAGTCATATCACCTGAATTCGGTCGGATTTAGTGTTGGAATGACTTGATTAGAAAATTTGTGAAAATAAAAAAACTCGATTGGACAAATTAAAAGTATAGAGACTTGATTAGATAAGGCGTGATAATACAGAAGCATGGGATGATATTTTCATTTTTCCAGTAGTTTGTGCTCTCTAACAATGTAAACCCTAAATATCAATTCATTGGGCAGTGAAAACTCCTTCCGATTCCATTTTTCTATGCAAAAACATCAACTATCAAAACCAATTTACCAATTTGTTGGGCGGCAAAAACCCTTGCCCTGTTTCCATTATGAAAACTATGTCCACATTGCGATCCCCCATCTGTTAAGGTATCATCCTCCAAGAAACATTCCATGAAATTTTCAGAAACAATCTCCATGGTTAAGTCAAAACACAGGCGAGCAAAACTCTCATGAAACATATTTGAAAACGTCTTGATAAAAGTTTGAAATGGTAGGAGAGCACAATGCAAGCATAGAAAAGTACAGAAGACCCCAAAAACAACAGGCCCAAGGAACCTTCTTTGGTCTCTCGTTAGACCTGGAAGAACAAACGCTATGATCTCATAGAGAAAAACGGGGCTTCCTAGGAGAAGATCGCAGTATCCAGAAACCTGTAGTATGAAATAAAAGACTTAAATTGTAACAGCACGCCATTCATCATATACATTGCATCACACAATCAAGCAAATACGCCATACAGATGTATATATCGACTCTCCTACAGTTTGTACAACTTGATAATGTGAAAGAGCTCAGGCATATTGTTTCGATCTGTTGATTCAGACAACGAAGCAACAGGAGTCAACCCAATTGACAGGTCCATGTAATAAATGATGCAATTGTGCAAGCGGACCTAATGAACATATTCTGCTAGTGTTGTTTTCTCAGTCACCAATGAACTAGTACAATTATGTTTGAAGCTGTAAATTCTGATATTATGGTCATGATGGATCCATGAAAACCACATTGGTGATGAAATCACATGACTTGTACAAAGGCTACTAGAGAGAGAGAGAGAGAGAGAGAGAGAGAGAGAGAGAGAGAGAGAGAGAGAGAGAGAGAGAGAGAGAGAGAGAGAGAGAGAGAGAGAGAGAGAGAGAGAGAGAGAGAGAGAGAGAGAGAGACCTTCAAAGATATAAAGAAGAATTCCCCGCGAGCCAGTTGCAGAAATCGAACACCTTGTGTTTTGACGGGAGCTTCCACGATCCTTATTAATTCTTTTGAGAATGCAAAGCATCCCAAAATAGCAGCACTGACTGCCATAACGAACGCAAATATTCATTGTCTCGGCTCTTCAAGATGATTATATACACTCATTTCCCTGTCATCTGGAAGGAGCTCTTTATCAGGATACAGACATTGTTGCCCTCAATCGTGACCAGAATCATGCACAAATTGGGGAAAGCGGGTGAATTATTTTTGTTCTTCACTACTCAAATCAGAATCATGCATTGTGGATGACTTCTTAGCAGCTATACCTAATAATCTTTTCCCTTCTTTGGGTTTGGGCATGGTTCTTTCCCATGTAGCCCGAAACTAGATGACGAGGAGCTTGGGACAGCCCTAGATTCTCTTTCTATTTAGGATGCAATTCTCTTTCTATTCATGGTGCAATCATCACAAGTTATTTGGGTTTTTATGGGAAGTGCAATCGAGTTTTTCTTGTCATCAAATCTTCAATTTTTCCTCAGTGACATCCTCCATAGGCTGTTGTCTAGAAAATATTCTTGCTGCCTTGTAAGAACTCGATTGCAACTATTCAAGAAGATTTAGAAATTTACTGCAGTCAATCGAAAGATTTTGATCAGTGGTGGGTATTTCCATATTAGTTATTCGTGTTGTTAGAAAATGGGTTAATGTGATTACAAAGTACTGTTCATTATAAAAGGTGTCGATTCGTGTCGATGTGTTAAGTCAGTGTCATGTCATGTCATGTCACGTTGATTGCGAGTTATTCTTCTTGTGTTTGAGTCCATGTTCTCCCTTTCATACAATTATTTGAGTTCAAGCAGAGCTCCAACAGAAAAATGATCATCGCAATTCACATGCTCTCGAGTTTTTCAGTTCTTGATTCAATGATATCACCTGTATTGATTGCATTAGATTACACGAGGCATCTGTAGACACATGCAA